TTTCAATTAAATCACAAGGACTTTATCATAATATACGAACCTCAGAGATTCAGACAGAGGAGTCAGGGTGCCATCTCCTCTGTCGACCACTCGGAAGAAGTTTAGTTGGTCATTTTCCCGATAGACCACAAACGTAACTTGCTTGTTGGACAGGCTTTTCTCCCACCCCTCCTCCTTTGTGTTCTCCATTAGCTCAGTAACATCTTTGATAGGATCCTCCATTGTAACTGACAAAAGAAGAGAGGTCAATTCCATAAAGTGTTAGGGAATTAAAAAAGACATTGATATATACGAGTATAGATGTCTGACATGTGGATGTACAGTTCTTTTGACTTACCTCTCCTGGTGTTAATTGGCCCTCCCCTCATAGCTAAGACCAGCTTCAAAGTGCAGCCCTCTGCAATGCTGCAAGCACAAACAAACTGATGATCAATACGGCAGATAAGTGAAGAAGGATGTAACCAATTCCATAGTGAGCAACACATTTAAGTTTAGAGTCAAATGCTTTACTTCCGAGGCAGAAAAGAGATGCTACTCTACAAAGTGAACAGCACTCCAAGGGTCGGGATGATTTCCAGATGAACTTAAGTGCACGACAGGGAATTCCACAGGAACATTTGTTTCTGATGAGCAGATGTTTCGTTGCCTACTCTACCCCTCTGCTGCTCAAACTTCAAAAACATGCTGCAGTTTGATAGGCGAGCCAGGCAAGAGCTCACCAGAGGCTGTTCATGTGGAAAATTAACTGACAAGCATTCATAACAATAGAAGCATCTGCAGCCGGCGGAGCACTGGAGGGTGAGGTCTGCATCTCATAAACTGATACAAGTGGAGGAGCAAGCACTCTTCACATGACCAGTATGTCACTTATCTCATCTGCCTCAACATCTCTCTGGCTCATGTATGATATGTTGATCTGAATTAAGACTGAGTCCCCACCGCAGACAGAAGGCTTTTAAAGTACACAGGCAAATGGCTAGACGAACACAGGGCGTTTTCAAACATATTGATAGTAATTGCTCCAACAAGCTTTATGTCTGTGTGATTTTGCCTCAGTGTCAGTGCTCTGAAGAAGAGAAAGTGTCAGTGCTCTGAAGAAGAGAAAGGGTTTGCAGAAATAGATTTACCCATAGTCATGAAGACAATGTTCATCGTCCAGCTCCAGATTGTTCCAGATTAGGTGTTGCTGGGCAACAGGGATACCTTTACAGACAGTCGGAGAGAGGGTAGGAGAGAAAATAAGCAAGGTTGACAAGGACCTATTTCAGAACATAAAATCACTCATCTGACACTCAAGCAAAGTAGAAAGGCTGCCAAAAGAAGCATCCATACAGCGATATCGATGATACTTGTCTGCCCCCTTAAGACAGAACCATGTAATTGCTGAAAAAGGGCAGATCCCACAACAATTGCATGAACTAAAATTGTCTAAATTAGAAGAAAGAAAACTAAAACTTGATGTGCTCAAGTGTTTACAAGATACAACTGTGAAATACATTAGGGTTGGAATCAAATACAGCCACATTTATCTCAAATGAGAACAAAGTAGTAAGGTCTAGTTGAGGGCTGACGGCCTAATGAATATGAAGGCTCTCTAGACTAGCTACTCCTTAACATGAGATGCAGTGTATGCGTGGTCAGGAAGCTCTCTGTGCCCACAATGAGTCAACTCCCTGAACCGGTGCTGGACCGGAGCCAGTGTTAGTGAGTGAGCACTGGTCCTTTCATTGCTGAGTGGTTTTCTACACCACACACTCACTTGGCTTGGCTGGCACACCTCTTCACACACAGAGCACACAGAGGCCATTATAAACAAAAATGAAATCAGCAGCAAAGAATGCAGATATAAAAAGTCATCTTGATCTACAGAAAAGGAGAGCCAAAGTCGAAATAAATGAACTAATAGATTATTCATTCAGGAAAATGTCAACACAACCCACAACGCCTAATCCTAAACCACACTGAAAAACACAGTTGCTGTGTTCTCTCATGGTGCATATGATTCGTCACTCGAGAGACAAGCCAACAGGTGAGTTCACAGATATGTTGACATATTATAAAGGCAGTTGCCTTTCACAAAGTCAGCAAACAGCTTTTAAGATGGTTTGGATTTGTGATTCAGCAAGTTACTAGCGTCGTCCATTATGTATCAACAAGGAGACCAACTATAGGAATGATAGGACATTTTATGAGCATCCATTGTTTGGAAAAAGCGGCTGTCTGTTGTGCTTATACACTGATTTTACATTAGGACAAATCATTATAGATTAAATATTACATTTTTAACCAAAGACTCTAGCTAGATTTGTTTTACACCGACAGCCATACTCAACACAAATGAAGGTTTATATTGACAATAAGTCTAAGCGCCATAATCTCAGAGTGTAACCAAGAGTTTTCTGCCTATTTCTTTTTCCCACCACGTTACATTAAGCATGATAGAACACTTTTATCCGAGTCAAAACCACAAACCGACTAATAGAGTGGGAAAACCTCAGTAGACTAGATAGGTGATACAGAATGGTAAAAACAATGACTTGTCCTCAACCCAGTCTATCAAATAACTGATGGAGCCTGCTCGCTCAATACACATGCAAAAGATACACATTTAAGTGTTGTTTACCTTCCAGCCTCTGGATCTTTGCCTTGACTGAAATGACAGCCTCAAAAGGCAACACACGCAGCTCAAAACAGGTTCCTGTCAGGGTCTCTATGAAGAGCTCCATAGTGTCATAGAAAGGGAGCTTATAGTGAAATGCTCCCACACTGTCGTCATTAAAGAAAGGTGGCTCTTTCCTGTCGGTCATCTTGGCAGGATGGGAGAGAGACTTCTGGGATACGGTTAAAAGAGAGGGCCGGCGCAGGAGGAAGGAGAGAGGAACAGGCACTGCTCACTATCCTCACGACCGTCACACATCATGCAGGAGGACCATAGCTGTGAGAAGAAACAAAAGCACTGCATGATTCTCAACACTTTTAAGAGGGTTTCATTAGTTGAACCATTCCCTGCCCCTGCAATCCAGTGTCGTAAATATGATAAATGTGCTTCCTAGTCAGCAAGCTTGAAACTTCCTGCTTTAAATATAGTATGTTAGCAATTATGTTAGCACAAGGGCATTCATCAGCGGCAGCAAACATGTGCAACCCGCTCATAAAAGATTCAGTGCAGCATTTTACTTCCTGGCCAAAATTCAAGAGGATCAGGTGTGTTATATAAGCCGTCTGTGAAGTTTCCTTTGCCTGACCCCAGCCTGTGACAGATCAACTCTTATGTCACTTGACCCACCGACATCTTACAACATTTAATATGCGTCAAAGGCAAGTTGGTCCAATCATACATTTATTATTCTGAATAAAAGAAGACAACGTATCACCCAAAATACTGTTAAAAGCAGCACAAGAGATTCATATAAATTGCAGTTTTTCTCATGGACACCTGACTGATTAGAATAATGTTTGGATTTGATATATTATCATGTTATCTTTTCCTTTTGTGTTTTGGAGTACAGTTGTGTTTTGAAATGCAGTTGTTCACAGGCTGCTGCTGTGAGATCATTTTAAACGCTGATCCTTTAAACTAAGTTAAGGAGTCTTAAGTAAGGACTCATGTCCATGATAAGATGTCAAACACTTAATAATAAACTGTCTCTGATTGTTGGCAGTATAATGTTAGCATAAGAGGCCCGGTGTTGTCCTTAACAAGCCATGACGCAAATGGATAGTTTGTCATGTAACAGGCAACGATAGACCATTGTGTAGTTTGTCTCTGGCTACATTTAACATGTTGTATTACGGTGGTTGACCGCACCATCACAGTTTAAGGACGGCGAAAAGAGATCAACTCCTGTAACGTTAGCAACTAGCTGCCTGACAACGGAGATGAATGGAGTTGGAAGTCGCCTCAATACAATTCCAGCTGCTAACAGTAGCAAATAAACGTCCCACAAGCAGTATTTATACCTCCTAATCTTTCACAATGACCTCTCAAAACCTTGGTTAACGTTCGTATGTTAATATTTATACTTGCTTACCTGTATCTTCTACAATAACACCGTAGTGAAGCCCGTCTAGCCGACGCTGTTAGCTTTCGTTGCCATGTTAGCCAACAACTCAAACAATGGCTACCTTTCTCACTGGTCTGCCAGCTAGCAGACTGCTAGGCTACATCCACAGGCTTCAGTCATCTCCAGTCCGCTGTAGCTGTCGAGGAAAACGTTCCGTTTCAATCTAAGCAGCATTTCCTCACGTTTAACACTAGAAACTACACACGGAACCAAGTGGGTCAGCCGCTGTCGGTTGCCGTGGTCCCCTTGTTGTCAACAACATCATACCTGTCAAAGGCGGCTGAACAACACCTTTGTGACATAGTTTGATTGGCAGACAAAGGAACCAATTGGCGTAAAGGATGGTGAGGTGGGCGGAACATCAGACCATGGGTCAGGCAGTCACTTCCACATCCTCCTCAGTTGGGAATATTTCCCCTTACAATAACGTTGTAATTCCTCATTTTAACAGGTTTAAAAAAATATGACATTTTGCTACATAATTGGTCAACAAAAAGCAGTAATTATCTTTTGAGCTACCAGCAATTGTTTTTCTTGTTCATTTTTTGAAGAATTAATGAGTGACTGTTACACACTTAAAAACATTAATAAAAACACCTCCTAAAACAAAAAGTTTCCAATTTGTTCCCATGAAGACGAGATGTTGTCTTCTGTTTTTAAAAGAATGCCACTTTGTAGCCCAATGACAGCAGAAAGGCTTTTACTGCCATGTTCAAGACACAAACAGCTACAAGACCTTTCCTCTATGACCGAGGTTTTTGGAGCCTTTACTATTATAATGTATTGTAACCTTATTTCTTCTTCTTTCAGGTAGGTTTCTCTCAATGCTAAGAATGGAGCAGCTTTAATTCTTCAATAATTCTGACCTCAGCAAAAACCCTAAACCTCTAGACAGACATGACACAAAGGAAAACAAGTGACAAGGAAATCATCACGCTCTTTTCAGATAGCATAAAATATGTTTCTTTTTAGTTATTAAAATGAATTTCCTTTTTCATCAAAGCCAAAGTTAAGAAATTAATGAATTTTCCATTAATAAAAACATTGTCAAAATGCCTAAGACAGTAAGTAAACAGACTGATTTCTTATAACCATGATATGGCACAAACCCAAAGACATGGAATCTCAATGTGGAAAAGCCAAAGGATAAACATCTTCAAAACAAACAAATCAATTGACTATTAATTTCTGCAGGCTTTGAGGCTGAGCATATGGTATGCTTATAAAGTGCTATAATGTATAATAAAGATTAACAGTATATAATAACTGTTACATAATATGATCTGATACGGAGATGATTTTTACTATCAGAAGTTGACTGGAATAATTTTCATTTTAGTTTTTTATCTGCCAAAAATAAGCCCCAGTATTTATATGGATTCATATGGATAAATACTCTATCAACAGTGTATCCGATCTCCAATCTTTCAGTGGTCCAAATGACAAAATTATGGATGTACACAAATGTACAAATCTGGCTACTCAGAAACAACAGTTCAGTTCCCGCCAAGAGCATTAAGTGGATCATCAAATATGTTGCTTGACTCCGCTGCTGTGGAGGTCTCCTGAGACGGTGGTGTTTTCTTTGATTTATGGGGAGGCTTTGTGACTGCTTTTGCTGTGCTCGGTGAGAAGATGTCATCTTTAGGAAAAGAGAGATGGATCAAATAATTAGTTAAATATGGCAATAAAAAAAGAACATGAATGCATCAATGTGTTTTATTGTTTCTTACCCATGTCATCATCAAATATTGACTTGGTCTCTCCCTTTGTCTTGGACTTCTGTTTTGGTTTGAAACTGTCCGTCATGTCAGCAAAAATGTCTATGTTGTCGTCAAACAAGCTGGCATCAAGGGTCTTCTCTTTGTGCTTCTTGTGAACTTCAGGCACAATGGCGACTTCATCCTGAGAACATAGAAATGCAGCCCATAAGGAAAGGAATTATTAAACATTTTCTCATGATGGCACAGACTTCCTTTATAAATGTAAAAATCAAGGTACCTGGAAGATGTCCTGCTTTGAAAAACTGCCGTTCTTTATTTCTTTACTACTTGTGGATGTGGGAGTGGAGCGGTTGCTCACTCCAAAGATGTCCTCGTCCTCATCTTCCAAAAAGGATGAGGCCGTGGCTTTCTTAGTAGTTGACCTCGGCTTGACCTTTTGGAAAAGTTCATCAGTGTTGGCATCAAAAAGAGATGGAAGAGAGTCTTTCTTCACCGCACTACTACTAGCTTCAGGCTGTGTGGTCTTGGTTTGTCTGGTGGGGGGTGTGGTAGTGACTGAGGAGGCTGCAGAGCCAAAAAGGTCCTCGTCATCAGAAAATGGAAGCACCTTGGTACTGCTGCTGTCTTTACTGGAGTCCTTTATTCCAGCGTTTGTTGATACTGGCAGTGTCAATACTGAGGGTCTGGTGGAGACTTCAGAGACTGAGGAAGGAGAAGGTGAGGAGGCAGGCAAGGCTGAGGGGGAAGCTGGGTCGGGTAGTGTTGGACTGGCACGCTTCTGGCTGGACTTATCTGGTGGGGGTAAGGCTAAACCAGACACACCGGGGTTCTGCCCAGGAACATCTCCACCCAAAGCCTCTTCTTTATCCCCTGAAGATTGCTGGGCTGGTTGCTGCCTCCCTGCTCTGGACTGGGGTCTCCGTTGTGCTGAACCTTTCACACGGCTCTGCATGACAAGAGATTTGCAATCACAATATTACATCATAAATTCAAACAATGATAAAGCAACAAATACCGCACTTCCACTGCAAAGTCAGGCACAGTTTTACAACTCGTTTTATCTTTTATTTTGAATAAACAAATGGCTAAAGTTGTTGATAATACACATTTTTTTGGTACCACTTGGTTTGAAGTTTCATGCAAGCTGAGCCAATAGCAGACGGAGTTAAAACACTGCAGAACACTGATTGGACAGAAATAAATGCCACTAGGACAGCACAAAATATCCTGCACAAACCTCAAAACCCATAAACGTTGTCAATTAGTAAAGCTACTGTTAAAAGCAACTCCAATGTTTTTATTTTCTTGACCCATACTTTAAAAATTGAAGCCCCCAAAATGACATTAAGCACTACATGGTACAATTGACAAAGTGTAGACATTATTTTGGTTGGTTAAAGACCTGCTATTAAGGCTATTAAGTAAGTTGAGTTCAGTATAGCCGAACAATGCAGTGGAAATTAAGCATTTAGGACTTGAGGATAACAGATATAATACTCCAGGAATCAAAAACCGACCTTGTGTACACTCTGAAGGGTTGCAACCTGGACTGGGATCTCAAAGCTCACCCCTCCCTCACGGTCTGTCTGGGCTCCGACAGGAGATGTGACGGGGCTGGGGCTCAGGCTGGAGCTGGACACCCCAGAGGAGGAACTGGTAGCCATGCCACTTGAGGCCCCTAGCATACTGGGGGCCGCACCAGGGAGCAGCGCAGCAGGGTTGATCATCAGATTGGCCTGAATATGATGAGATCAGACGAAACAATATAATCATTTATCAAGGCAAAAAAGAAACCTATGAACACCAAAGAAAGATCGAAGACTATTTAAAAGAGACTTTCCAGGTAGAAACACATTTACAACTACTACCTCTTCATGGAATTTCTCAGCAGACCATTGAGGGAAAAAAAGCTTAAAAACAAGACTACAGATGAAAATGAGAAAAGATCAAGATGCAAAACATCTTGTGAAAGAAAGAGCAAGTATATTCTTTTGGTTAAGAAAAATGAAATCAGAAAATATTATCTCATTTTTCTTGCCGCTGTTCTGTAGCCAAGCTTTTACTGCAAGTTGGAATATTAAAAAAAAAAAGCCCAGACAGAAGACACCTTAAGAGAGAAAATGTGTAAGAGGAAATAGAAGTCTTCCCTCAAGAGGAATCAGAGTGAAATGTCAGGAATGAAGACTGATTCAAGAAAAACAAAAATATTACTTGAAGTTTCCCAATCCTTGATGAGGAATCTTTAGGTTTTACAGGGTTTGGTGCAGGTTTCTGTGTGGTCAGATTACAGCAGGTTCAGAATCAAATCCAATAAAGACATTACCTAGTTCATATAAAAACAACACTACCACAACATATCAACATTTTAAAAAAAAAGGTATGCTACTACAAGCAAAAATAAACCCTAAAACAAAAATGAATGGGGACACAGGTGTGTGTTTATGGCTAAAAAGAACCCATCCATGATATTATTGGAGTACATGCTTATAGTACACTCACCTGAATCTCTGATACAGATTCTGGACTGGCTAGTGGTGCTCTGTCATTAGGCTTACTGGGCTTCTCTGCTATTTTCTAAGAATAAAAAGAAGAGAGGAAAAAAAGCGTCAGTATAATGACCATTTACACAGCTGTTTTCGTTTCAAATCTAATATACAATGTTAGGTCAGGACGAATCCACAAAATAAAAAAATCACTAGAAAATAATCAAATTGCTACCGGAGGAGGATCCTTTGCCTTGATAGAGCTGAAGAGGTCATCCTCATCCTCATCTGAGAACAGGCCTTTTGCTGCAGGCTTCACTGAGTCGGGCTTGGAGCTCTAAAAGAAAACATATATATATGTGTACACTTCCTTATCATCTAGTGAGAGACATTATGCATTCATTCACAAACAGTATGCAGTCGACTGCAACACCGTACTTGAAGAGAGAAAAAAAAAGAGATAAGAAAATGAAATATACTGACAGCTGGTTTCCCTGAGGTGGCAAACAGGTCAACATCTGGGTCATTGTCCTTCTGCTGCGTCTGACTGAACAGCAGCTCCTCATCCAGGAACACTCCTGTGCTCTTTGCCTGCGGTCGCTCCTCTGTAGGCTGTTTTAGAGACATATCTTTTTATTCTTGAGAGACAGCGTACCAATGCAACTAAAACACACTATTCTTACTATAAATCATACTAACCTTTACGGTGTTGCTTTCTGTGGGTTTGCTGGGTGTGAATATCGGTTCATTCCAATCTGATTCGTCTTCCTCCTCATCATCAAATAGACTAACAGTGTTTATTTTCACTTTCTCTTCCTTCCTCTCCTCCTCCTCCTGGACATTTGGTGGTGGACCGTCCTCTGAGAGGAGAGGGTCTTCCTGGTCAACTTCGTCCAACGGGCTCTTTGTCTGCTTGTTAGCAAAAACGTCGATGCCTCCAAAAAGACTGACTCCTCCCACAGGCTTCTTTTTACTTTCGCTAATATCTGGCGAGGGGGCCGATGGGAGCGGCTCGGGGCTCTTTGCTCTCGGCTTCTCCGGCAGTGAAGGTTTGTCCTTTGCTGCCGGTTTGGAAACTACAACCTTCTCAGATTTCTCCAACAGGGAGGACGACTGAGAGGCCACAGCAGGTGTCTGAAGGATACAGGTATAAAAAGAGTGAATATCCATATGGGAATACGGCAAATGACATGGTGTAAAAAGAATGATTCTGTTATAAAAATATAGCAGAATCAGAATGTTATAATACTCTTGTTGCCAGTCTCAGAAAACCAACTTGATTATGTGTAATTTAAATATCTAAAAGTTCCTCTACGGGCTGAGAAAATATTTGTTCTAACCTATTAAACCATGTTGAGGCCCACTGGAAGCAAGCTTCAAACTAGATGTTTTTTATGACAAATGTGAAATACAGGAAAGTTATTGCACTCACTTTGGCAGCTGGGGCGGCAGTGTTTCTATTGACAGGAGGTTTGTCGCCAAAAAGGGATCCTTTACCCTCACCATCATTCTCATCTTCGAACAAGAGAGCCACTCTCTGAAACTTTTTCTGACTACATGAAGAGCGGAGGGATAGTAATTATTTAACGCTTCAAAATGGGTTATGAAAACGAATGAATTTAAAACAACTGCAACAGTTTGAAAGTGTTTAAAGAACTCAAAACAAGTGTACACACCTTGAATCTGTTGTTGGAGTAAACAGGTCGTCATCGTCACCATCGAAGACGCTGCCTTTCTGAGGTATTATGGCACTGAGGAAACTGGAGGGGGCGCTGACACTGGGCTTCATCCCTCCTGTCTTCACCTCTGACTTCCCCGCACTACTTTTAGAACTCTCCCACTGGTCCTGTCATTGAATAATTGAGAAAGATGTACCTTATTGTACGCCCTCATAACAAATGGCGTGCAGAAGGTAATTATGACTTGATGTTCTCATACCTCATCGTCACTGAAGAGGGAGCTGGACAAGGCCTTGCTGGGCTGCGGCGTGGAGGCTTTGGCTGAATTAGGTTTTGATTTAGACTTAGCTGCCGATGCAAAGAGATCCTACAGGGTGAAGAATCAGAATATTGTAAGTTCCTCACACCAAAAGTAAGCGTAACCTATTTCAGTTTCAAGTCAAATGTATTTGTACCTCTTCTTCTTCATCATCAAATAATGACAGAGGGGCCTTGCTGGTTTTGCTCTGGCTTGTAAGTTCAGGCTTAGACTGGCTCCTGGGGATAGTTGGAGATTCCTATGGAGGGCAAATACATATATGGTGTAATTAAGATGTATTGCTACTGTTGTCACTTTTGTTCAGAAGAAGATTGAGAGCCTTACCTGGATGTCTTCCTCATCAGAGAAGAGGCCTCTGCTCTTGGGTTTTATAGTTGGCTTGACAGCAGACTTTGGAGCATCTGGAGCCGGCCCGTTCTGAAACACAGGACACAAAGAGGATCATTTAATATGTGAATGGGTTTTAAATTAGTTTAGTCTTGAAAGAAAAGACCTGTACAGAGCGAAGATAACTTAACTGTATGAGGATAAAGGCTAGCAGTGCACTCTAAACTAAACAAGAGTGCACTCAATATGGCCAACTGCAGCTAGGTCTGTTCATGTAACGGCATCAATGCTTGATAAATGGGCTCATTAAGAGACATACAATATATTGTGGCTGTCAATGTGGTTATGGTGTATTCGGAGGCAGTGAAAACCTTTTGAGCCTTTTCAGTAAAATGTTTTTTTTAAATTTTCCACTTATAAACAGGGCAGATAGTTTTTTGTCTGGAATAAAATGTTAGGCAGTGAAGTATTCAGACCTCCTCAGATTTCTCAGACTCCTCACTGGTAGACTGCTGACGTTTTTTCAGTCCCTCGTTGAGCAAGCTTTGAGTCCCGGGTCCAAATATAGAGATGGCCCCTGCTGGCATCTAAACACAACAAGGGATCATCAACAGAGGAACAAAAAGATTACGGCTATATCAGACAAAATATATAATTAATACAACAAAAAGTACCTTTCTCTCAGGTTGTTTAACCTGCCCTTCCACTACCTCCTTCTTGCTTTGAGTTGGGGTCGGCGCACTGGACTTCTCACTGAATATGTCACCACCATCGTCATCTTCATCAAAAAGGTCAACAGCTTTGGGCGTCTTCTTTCCAGCTGAAAAAGAAGCAAAAAGAAAAATTATGTTTGGTGATGGTTATGATCAGGGCTGCACATAACTGCACATAAGGTCAAGTACCCCTCAAAAGGTCCGGTTTATTTCATTTTAAGGATGCGCACCAAGCAACATCTCCAGGTGCTCCTTTGAGAACCAGGGCAAAAAAGTTATGTGCACCCCTGGTTATGATCCCATCTGAACCTGGACTAGAAGACCACACACTTACCAGAGTCAGACTTTGAGAGGCTTTTACTGCTGAAGAAGTCATCCTCCTCCTCCTCCTCCTCATCATCATCAAACAGCCCACCCCCTACTCCACCAACAGCAGCTGGTGGAGTCTGTTTGGAGGCAGCGTTGATCTTAGGAGCTTGGATCCCATTTTCCTTACTCTCCACTGCATCGGAGTTATTCACTGGCTTGAAAAGAGTGTCCGCTACGGGGAGAAAGACATTTGGTTGTGGAAGATAAAGCAGACAAGTACGTGTCATACAGGACAAGGACATACAGTATTTTAGCGGTCATACAGGTAAATGCTATTACATGGGAATATTGAAATGCCACCCACAGGAATCTTCTTTCCAGGTTTCTCCGATTCTTGAATGGCAAAGAAAGGTTATGTGGCAATCTGCTCATCTAGTCTTTTCTATATGCTTCTACCTTATTTCTTTGCAGATATTTGTGTAGAAAGTCAGTCTTACCTGCAGTTTTGGCTGTGCTTTTTAATCTTTCATTCTGCACTTTTTTCTCTTCCGACGCAGGAGGGTTTGGTGCATCTGAGAATAGATCACCCTGAATGGTATAACATAAAACAGCACAAATTAAACTTATTGTTTAGAGGAATAAATAAGAGTTAGCTCTGAAAATAATTGAGTTTAATATACCTCATCATCATCGTCAAACAGGCCTCTCCCTCCACTGAAGAGGCCGCCTTTCCCTCCAAATGGGGAGAAATCTTCATCCTCCATCTTTGGTGGCTTAAACATGTCATCGCTGTCCTCTTCAGCTGCTGTTAAAATGAACATAACAAGTATTGAGAGGCATACTGGGAACCATGGGCCTGCGGTGGAAATAACTGAAGTTTGAATTGAATGCACTGATGATGAATAAAAGTCCTACCCTCGGGCTTCGCAGGCTTTGGTTCTTTCCTGCTTTTACTTTTCTTCTTAGATGTCAATGCTTCCAAGAATGAAATGGTAAAAACACAAGGCATGAGCATGCACATGCTAAAATGTCATTACGTAAAAAAACGTTGATGTTGTGTTTTCCTTCAATTAAATGTGAAGAATGGGATTAACAATGGAGATGATATTTGACCAGCTTGTTGGTAATGATGGTGACTTACATGCTCGATCTCCCTCTGGTTTGGTCACTGGTTCACCCTTGATTCGGGCTGCTAGCTCATCAGCAAAAGACGATGGTGCCGTATTCTAAAAGTGACGTAAAAAAAACTAATGTACAATGTCCCCTAGGTAGATCATATCTGAATGATTCCAGACTGGATTAACAAATAGTGCATTTACAAAAGATATCTCAGTACTAAAGCAAAGTAATATCAGGAATACCTTTGTGTCGTCATCATTATCTTCCCCGTCTGATTCTCCGAATATATCAGAATCCTCCTCCTCGTCCTCATCGTCGTCATCATCATCATAACTAACCATGGATGGCTTCTACGTGAGTGTGGAAAGACAATTGAGTTTTAAAGTGGTTCAGTTTAACTGTGGTCTCTGATGTGTTTGGCAGGCAGGCAACTTACCTTCCTAATATTATTGTGACGTTCTTCTTCCTCCTGGTTAAAATCGTCATCTGAATGCTGTGACATAAAAAGATAATTACAATAAGGTTTCTATTTTTATGTACAAGATGTCAAATTTAACACAATAGAAAATACTATTAAAAGAAGGGAAAGAACGTCTTACAACTGCGTCTTCGCCATCTTCGCTCTCGATTACACTGTCTCTGTCACTGTCAACTGACATTTCTGGAAAACAAATCATACGAACACATGACAAAAACGAACGAGTTTGATGTAGCAGCGACATTAAAAGCTGCAATGAAGAGTTTACCATCACTTGAGAGGTCACCAAGGCCAACGTCCTCTTGATTCATGAAGGCATGGGAACCAATAAGATATGGAAGCGGCCTGTCCACATAAAGATCCTGAAAGACAATGAGAAAAACAGACACACCGGATAAAGTACATTCATTTGAAGATGAGTTATCACATGTTTTCAGTAAACATAAATGAGAGTTTCAAGATCAAGAGCACACCTTGGGTTCAAGGATGGCCTCCAGTCTGTCAGTGACCTCTTCATCCTCTGAATCCGAGTTTCCTGCTTTGATGTCCAGATGCTCAAACGCTGACTCAAGCACTTTTAGACCATGGTTTACAGCTTCCTGCATCTTAGGGATCAGCTCGGCCTCTTTCTGCTCCCGTGTCTTCTCCTGTAGGGAAAACAGGGTGATGCAAGACTTGGGCATAATAATGCTGCGGAGGGATATTCAGTATGATACTGTTTGGTCAGTGTATGAGGAAGGATGTGTTTTTGATACCTGCTCAGGCTGCTTCTCCAAAGCTTCCACCTTGGGTATCGTCTCTTCTACCTCTTCATCATACACTCTCTGTAACACAAAACGTTTTAAATTAATGTATACACTCAAATGGATTGAATTGTCTCAACTGAAATGTATCCAGTCAAATTGAAGAAATTATATAATTTACATTTTCTATAAACTGTGTATTGGAAAGCATGAGAAAGTCGTTAAACACAGAGTGCAAGCAGCTGTCTGTGTTCTTGGTGTCACGGATCAGACTGTCCAACTGCTTCTCAATATCATGCGTCTTCGACAGCATTCTCTGGGAAAAGTCTTGGAGGAACAGGAAGAGCTGTGAAGAAAGATTTAAAAAAACAGTTATGAAGACATCAAGAGTTGCAGAGTTCCTTTATTAGCCCAAAGCAGGACACATTTCACAACCCCCACACAACTACTGCATATTAATCCGACAATTTCAGAAAAGATAATGATGAATAACGTATATAATATGTTTTCTTGGCCTATTGGGGATGAGGGACTTACCCCCGAGTCGGCGGCCAAGGACCAGTTGGCGCTGCTCTGCCGCATCTCTTCAAGAGTCCAAGGTCTCTCCCAACTCTGAGCACCATTCTCTAAGTGTTCACTCCTGCTTGGGCCGTTCACTATTCCCTCCGGCAACCTGCTCATCTGCAATCAGAATGCTTGCTGTTATTGTTGGAATAAATAATGCAGGGCCTTCAAAACACTTGTCATTAATTAATCATTAAGGGAAAACACAATTTAAAAAACAATGATCTTATTGTGTAATATTGTAGCTCAAGTATCTGTTTGTACATTTTAAACCAATTTTGAGCAATGTAAACAGCTGGGAGACGTTTGTAATGTAAAAGCTTGTTGGAGGAAATAACATTTATATAGGACTTTGAATGGCAAAAACAAGCAGTTGTCTGCAAATGTATAAATAATAGTGGTGATAATATCATCCAAAACATGGAATGGAGCAGCTCCACAGACAATTACAATTTATAACAACTCTTAGGACACTGTAACAGCAGTATCACTGAGATATAGAAACCATTTATTATAGAAGTAAAACAAATAAAACTGCATTAAAGCATTTCTCTTTTTCGGTTTTCTGGCTCGTATCACTGAGAATCTTGATTTAGCTGCAAAATAGTACAATATTTGACATAGAAAGAAAGCTGATTGATTGATTGATTGAAAAGTTTATTAACAGCTTGTATATTGGGTACAGTACAGTACAGCTCAAAACATACAATTGTTAAGGGGATGCAGACCAGAGAAAGACTTTCGTCTTGTTTACATCAGGGTCCCCCATTTCCAATTCATCATATCATTTAAGACATATAAGACATATTTGACATACAGATGGCTTATTTACAATTTACATACAGGTGGTTTTTTACATACAGATTGCTTATTTACAATTTTCATTTTAGATTTCGTTCTAATACATCCTAACCGGACATTTAAGACATACCAAGTCTACAGATATACAGTTAGTAACAGAGTCTAAAATGCGAGTATATACATAGATGGGGGGGGGAAGCTGTTTATTGAACGACAGGTTGAGATTTGTACCATTACCGGGGCCAGTTTTGCAATGCTCTCCCCCGAAGGTGCTCTTTACGAGAGGTTTTGAAGATAAGTATAGTTTTACTTTCCTTTACAGTTGTGGGAAGAGCGTTCCACCTTGATGTGGCATAATTGCGAAATGTGTATTCCCCCTTTTTTGTGCCAAATCTGGGTTTCACATGATTTGTGGAGCTCCCTCTGGTGTTATGATCATGGTATTCCTTGACCTTTGGGAAGAATTTTGACATGTACATGGGTACCATAGAGGTGTAGTGGATCTTGTAGACCAGTCCCATTGCAAGTATAGCTGTACTCTGTCGTCTACTCTAAGCCATCCTTGTCAAAGTGGGCAGAGGTGAGGTGGGTTCTAGATGAAAGGTCAAGCAGTAGTCTGACCAGTTTATTTTGCGATGTTTGAAGTTTTATTTTTAGCGCCTTGGAGGTGCTATGGTACCATGACGTGCAAGCATAGTCATAGTACCCTTGAATGAGTGCTCCTGCCAGAGTTTTCAGGGTGTTTTTGTTTACCAGAGAGGAGATCCGGTATAGGAATCTAGTTCTTTGATTGACTTTTTTTATTACATTGGATGCCATTTTGTCACAGGAGAGGTTTGCCTAAAGAATAGATCCTAGGTATGTCATTTCCTTCTTACTTGTGACAATAATGTCGCCCACTGCAACTGAGAAGTCGTCGGATTTGCTGAGATTATGTTTCGAACCGAAGAGAATGGACTCTGTTTTACCCAGGTGTAATGATAATTTATTATCGGCGAGCCAGGTGCAGATTCTGCCGAGCTCGGAGCTGAGGGTTTTTTCAACCTGCAATCTGTTCCTGTCAGAGACCAGCAGGGCTGAGTCGTCCGCGAACAGGAACAAGTTGCAGTCACATGCTGATGACATGTCGTTTGCATAAATTAGGAACAGTAACGGACTTAATATGCTTCCTTGTGGAACACCACAGCTCACTGGGAGGGGGGGGGACAGAGTACCGTTTACCTCCATCATCTGTTCTCTCCCCTCCAGGTAGGATTGCATCCAGCTCACCGATAGTTTATCAAAACCAATTGCTTTTAGCTTGTCAATCAGAATGGGGTGATTGACAGTGTCGAAAGCCTTTTGTAGGTCCAGCATCACCATGCCGCAGTACTTGCCCTCGTCCACCTCTTGTTTGATGTGGTCGCTCAAATAAAGAAGGCATGTGTCAGTGGAGTGGGATGTTCTAAAGCCAGATTGAAATTCATAGATTAGTTTATTTTCCGCGAGGTACTTTTCGACCTGTTCATATACTATTTTTTCCATGACTTTCGAGATGGAGGTAAGTATAGAAACAGGGCGGTAGTTGCCTGGGTCCAATTTGCTGCCCTTTTTGTGCAGGGGGGTTACTCTTGCAATTTTGAAGTCTTTGGGTACTTTTCCCTGTTTTATGGAGAGGTTAATTATGTGAGCTATGACTGGTGAGATGGCGGTTGCTGTGTCTCTGAGGAATTTGGAGGGGATATTGTCGTGGCCAGTGGCCTTGTTAGGTTGGAGGGCGCTCAGTTTAATGAGTACCTCTGCTGTTGTTACCCTTGCTAGACTGAAATCATCTTTGCGTACCCCTAGGTTTTTGTAGTAGGTCATGATGTGATCTACTCCAAAAAGCCCTGAGTGGGAGGGTAATTTATTTACAAGAGTTGTGGCTATGTTTGTGAAAAAAATGTTCAAGTACTTGGCCACATCCAGTTTGTCTGTGATGAGCCTGTTATCTGTCTTTATGTTTAAGTTCGAAAATCTCATTTTGAGTTTTTTACTGCAGCCAAGCTGGTTATTGAGTAATTTCCAAAGTTCACGGGGTTTATTTTTGTTTTCCTCAGTTTTGACATTGATGAAATTCTTTTTGGCAGTTTTGATCATGGAGCTTACGTCATTTCTTAGTCTGTTTCTTTCAATTTTTTGTTCAGTCACGTGGGCCTGGAGTTCACTGCTCGTGCTTTTGGAAAGCATTGACTGACTTTTATGAAACTCAGAGCATTTTTTGTCTCTGGTTTTCATGGCGGTCAGTATGCCGGAGTGCATCCACGGCTCAGCACGATTTTTTACCCTGGTTTTTCTTAGGGGGGCCAAATCATTCATTTCATTCTCTCTACCCCTTTCCAAACATAACAAACTAATCTCTTCTCATCCTGCACTTGTCCGCCGTAACCTTCGCTCCCTCTCCCCCTCTACCTTTGCCTCGTCGGTGCTCTCAGCCCTCCCTTCCTCTGACTCGTTCCAACTCCTGCCTCCAAACTCTGCTGCAGAAACTCTCCTCTCTACTCTCTCATCCACTCTGGACTCGCTCTGTCCTCTCACATCTCGGCAGGCTCGTCAGTCCCCTCCTGCTCCCTGGCTAAATTATGCACTGCGTGCTAATAGAACCGTCCTTAGGGCAGCAGAGCGGAAATGGTGGAAATCCAAACACCGTGACGACCTCCTAACCTATCAAGCTCTCCTCTCCTCTTTCTCTGCTTCGATCTCTCAGGCAAAAAGCACTTTCTTTCAAGATAAGATCCAATCTTCCTATTCCAATTCTAAAAAACTATTTTCCATCTTCTCCACCCTCTTGGACCCTCCAAAAGCTCCTCCCCCCTCCTCACTTCTGTCAAGCGACTTTGTTACCCACTTTGAAAAAAAGGTTGATGATATTCGCTCTTCTTTTTCTGACTCACCTTTACTCACCGCTGGGTCACCAGACCCTCCTTCCACCAACACACTTACCTCCTTTTCTCCTCTCTCTCCAAGTGAGGTTCTTACCCTCATTACCTCTGCCCGCCCTACCACCTGTCCTCTGGACCCTATCCCTTCAAACCTCCTTCAGACTATCGCTCCTGATATTCTACCGTTTCTCACCCATTTCATCAACACTTCTCTAACTTCTGGTCACTTTCCAAACAGTCTCAAGGAGGCAAGAGTAAACCCTCTCCTAAAGAAACCCACTCTCAACCCGTCTGATGTTATAAACTACAGGCCTGTCTCTCTCCTCCCGTTCCTGTCTAAAACACTTGAACGCGCTGTCTTTAAACAACTCTCCTGTTATCTCAATCAGAACAACCTTCTGGATCCGCACCAGTCTGGTTTCAAGGCAGGTCACTCCACAGAAACTGCTCTCATTGCTGTCACGGAGGAACTGCACACTGCTAAAGCAGCCTCCCTCTCCTCTGTCATCATCCTGTTGGACCTGTCTGCTGCATTCGACACGGTGAATCATCAGATCCTCCTTCTGCACTTTCCCTCCTCACCTCATACCTGAAAGACCGTACCTACAGGGTGACTTGGAGAGGGTCTGAGTCCGACCCTTGTCAATTAACTACGGGGGTCCCTCAGGGCTCTGTTCTTGGTCCCCTCCTCTTCTCCCTGTACACAAACTCGCTCGGATCAGTCATTAGCCCACATGGTTTTTCTTACCACTGCTACGCTGATGACACCCAATTAATTCTGTCCTTTCCCCGCTCAGAGACCCAGGTCGTCGCACGCATCTCTGCTTGTCTAGCTGACATCTCTCAGTGGATGTCTGCTCATCACCTCAAGCTCAACCTTGACAAGACTGAGCTGCTCTTCCTTCCGGGAAAAGATTGTCCCACTCTTGACCTAACAATCAACATCGGCACCTCAGTTGTTTCCCCGACTCAGACTGCAAGGAATCTGGGTGTGACCCTAGATAACAACCTGTCCTTCACTGCAAACATCGCTGCTACAACCCGTTGCTGCAGATACACGCTTTACAACATCAGGAAGATACGTCCCCAGCTGACACAGAAAGCGACTCAGGTTCTGGTCCAGGCTCTCGTCATCTCACGCCTAGACTACTGCAACTCCCTCCTGGCTGGTCTACCTGCATGTGCCATCCGACCTCTGCAGCTCATCCAGAATGCAGCGGCTCGTCTGGTCTTCAACCTTCCTAAATTTTCCCACACTACTCCGCTCCTCCGCTCCCTTCACTGGCTTCCGGTAACTGCTAGAATCCACTTCAAGACACTGGTACTTGCTTACCATGCTGCGAATGGATCTGGCCCTTCGTACATCCAGGACATGGTTAAAACCGTACACCCCAGCGCGTGCACTACGCTCTGCATCAGCCAAACGACTCGCTGCGCCCTCGCTGCGAGGGGGACCCAAGTTCCCAATGGCGAAAACACGTGGGTTTGCTGTCCTGGCTCCAGGATGGTGGAATGAGCTCCCCATTGACATCAGGACGGCAGATAGCTTGCACATCTTCCGGCGCAAACTGAAAACTCGTCTCTTTCGACTCCACTTCGAGCGATAGAACTATTAACAAAGCACTTTTATACTAATAAAGGACTGGCTTTTCTAAAGCCAGTTGAGTAGCACTTGAAATGTTTTTTCTCTATGAAACCTGATGTACTTTTATGATTCTGTTTTCTTCAAGTTGTATTTTGTTGGACGAACACACTTATTGTAAGTCGCTTTGGATAAAAGCGTCAGCTAAATGCAATGTAATGATAATAATGTAATAATGTAATATTGCAGAGAATTTGTTTTTGAAACCAAGCCATGTTTCTTCAACTTGTGTACCACTGAGCTCATCTGACCAGTCCAGGCTCTCCAGTTCTAGGTTAAAGGCCTCGCTAGAGTAGTTTTTGAGGTCTCTAGATATGACTGTTTTGTGACAGCCGGCCTTTTGTTTTAACTTTTTGCGGGTACAGAATATCATATAATGATCACTTAAACCGCATGCTATAACCCCTTTACTGGAGATCCTGGACTTGTCAGAGGTCAGAATGAGATCAATGGTAGTTTGTGTTGTTTCACATACCCGGGTGGGTTGGGTGATTAGCTGGCTGAAGCCGTGCAGATCACAAATCCTACTGAAGGACTTGAAGACGGACGTGTCTTTACGTTGCATATCCGTGTTCCAGTCTCCAATAATAATTGTCTCTACATCCCCCACATCAGCCAAACACCCATCTAATGTATCATAAAAGTCACTCTGTTCCGGTGGTCTATAGATTGTCCCGACTATTAAAGATTTAAAGCATTGTCAAAAAGAATTTCAACCCACACAGATTCAATATTTTCATGATGCAGGTCAGTACGGGTTTTGAAATTGGTGTCTTTATGTATGTACATGCAGACACCACCTCCATTCACGTTCCTGTCCCTTCTCACTACAAGCTCATGGCACGACAGAGGCTAAATAAATGATACAACTGAACAGCCAGTATAAAGTGCTGCCCTGTGATCAAAGGTTTAACCCTCCATTCTTTGAAATAAACCAGGGACAACAATCCTTCATTCTAATGCTTATCTACTGTATGTGTGATGGTGTGTGCATGTTAGAATTGGATATTCCACAGCCCATACTATTTAACAGGTTACCCACAGAGTCGGATTCACTGTCAATGTACTAAGTTCAAAAGACTAACTGATGACACGATTCATTTAAAAATGGTGATGCTCTGATATCCTACTCATGGGGGCACTGTCTGAATGTGTGTTGATATTGAATGTGGGTGAAAGGGTCACCGATATACCACACGATAAATTACACTTTAACTTTATGCTGATGTAGTTGTACTGCAATACTTCAGATTCAATAAACTATCATTGGCGTTGGCTTTCCAATCAAGTTACGATTTATGCGTAGGACACCATGTTGCATTGATATCAAGTTGCCTAAATGTTGTTTCCTCATAGCTACTCGCTTTCACATTCATACAGACTTCTGGCAGAGAAAGCGGGGACTGTTAGCAGCTAGCTCAACTTAGCTACTCAACACCAACGTTAGCAACATTCCCAGCAACAACAGAGGGATTTATCCAGCCAAATATGAGCACTCTCATGCTTACCTTAAATTCCTGTGGTCAATTGCTTTCCACGACGGCAAACGGTGGTCAGAAACGCCGTAAAAATAAGATCGATTATGCTAAATTTGGTCTTCTGACAGGTCAGCCATGTTCTGTCTGCAGACAGTCACCTGACTACTGTCGCCTAGCAACCCAATGAAAGTGGGGCGGAGTGGAACAAACCAACAACCGAGGCGAAGAGGCAAAGAAGCTAATTCTTCGGTTGTATCCCCAAAGCCACATGATGCTGTTATAAATAGGGATATTATTTGACTATCACACATATCTTGGCCGGATAAAGATCAGATTTTAAACTTTTACACTCAGTTATTCGCGTTGAAACCAAGGAAAATCGGTGTTTGATATAGTCAAAGTTTACGATATTTATCTCAATTTACTGTTGCAACTTTTCGGCCTGCCCTCCGAGATTTGCATGATTCTCGCGGGAGCGCGCAGGAACTTTAAGCGTGAACAACCATATATTTACGGCAAAAGGAGGCTACTATAATCTTGTTGGGTTTCATACAGCTTGACCATACAATCTACAAGACTAAACAATAAAATGCAATTTATTAGTGCTATATTGTGACATTTTTCTAACGGTATGCGCCTGTCTTTATCTCTTCAGTAGAGGGATAACAACAGGTTAAACATTAGTTCTGCTTTTGCTTAGTGTCAGCTCGATTTTGAATGGCTGAAAAGCCCCTTTTAAAGTCTATGGAAAAGCCAAGCCGAGGCAGCCCCGTTCTGCTTGGCCAGTAAAGATAATGTTTGCGTTTGCTAGTTGGTTAGGAATATACAAACAAAGCAATGGAGGGGTGAGAGGAGTCCACCATCTAGCGGCCGAAAGGTATCTATTGAACTTTTATAAATTCATATTTAAGTGCATGCAGTATTTATTATTATATCTAAATAAAGCAACCAAAATATTTGTAAAGGTTTGGCAATGGCATAATGCTATTATAAAAACGTATAAGAAATTCACAAGGCTTTTATTTATGTTTTAAGCAGACTATAAACTTTTAAGAAGTTCGTCTAAAGGTCTTATAATTAACAATAAGCATGTGATGCTATTAAAACATAACGCTAATTACAAGTAAATTAACTTAAATCACAAGCAGTTTAGTTCTGTACTGTAAAATATTAAGATCATGAATATAATAATATTGCTAATATTGGTGAAGGAGACAAGGACAACATCATTTTCAAACATGTATAAACAAAGTTTATTTACTATTTTTGGCAACAGCCATAAAAAAACACATTTTTCATCCTTAAAAAAATATTTGCCCAAAATGGATATTTAAAAAAACACTCACACTCAACAGTGAAATTAGCAATGAATCAACAAACAGTATGCAAAACTGGGAATTATTTACAAAATTAACTCGCGTTGTCTCACTCTTCCTTCTCCTCGTCCTCAGATAACATCACAACCTCTTCAGTGTCATTGGTGTCCTCCTCTTCATCCTCCTCCATCATAGGCTCTTCTCCATCATCACTGTTGTCCACTTCCTGCTCTTCTTGGCTGCTCGTCACTGTAGCCACAGACAAAGGCTGCCAATAATCATATAGTTTACCCTACGGGAGGAAAATACACATTTGTAAATCAGAACTATACAATTGTTTGACTGTTAAACTGATCTTATTTCACATGACTTCTGGTTGTTTCTTTTAAAGAGGAAAACATTCATATAAGTCTGTAAAAGTCTACTGTACATGGAGAGGCCTGGTCCTCTGAAGGAGCATCTGCCACTTGGTGTAGATCCTGGCCACCAGGTCCTTCACCTGGAGGAAGAAGAGAAGGAGTTTTAATGATTGGGTTACTGCATCTTGAAACCAAGTCAACAATTAAAGTGTACCATTTCGTTAAACACATTTCCATGAATGTTCCTTTCTTTTAGCAAAAAATTACTTAAAATTGTATCCAAGAAATTAAAGTGTTCTTCAGTGAGGGCAAACATCTGCTAATGAGGTTATTAGGAAGGATTCATTTGGATTAATATTAGAATAGTGAAGTCTGGATGAAACAGCTTCAAATGTGATGACATGTCTACATGAGCAATTAAAAAATAGTCTCTTCACGCCATGGTCTTGCTTCTAACGAGTGGCTGTTCACTGACAGCTTTTACTTGAGATTGATCAAGAATAGTTTTTGTGATAAAGCTGAATTTGTCAGTGCTACCTCTGACATCTATTGCGTCTGAGAACGGGTTTTAACCTTTGACCTGACTAGCTTTGACAAACTGGTTAAACAAGGTAAACTGAGGCAGGTGGAACATCACCTAGGTCAACTTCAACCAGTCTTTAGGGATGCCACAAACACTCCTTTGAAGATTCCTAAAAGCAATGCCCACGGCTTGTTCATCGTCTTCTCCACACTAATTACAATGCAACATGTGTTAATAATATATACTTTCAGCTCCTGCCCCCTTTACTTTACAGTAAGTGTGTCTCTGCAGAAACCTCCGTTGGCGTCAACACGTCCTTTTGGAACAATAAAAAAAAAAAAAAAATCACAGATACAAACAATACCTGAAGTTCTTTTTAAAAAGCAAACTCACCTTGCTCCGGTAAAGACATTTCTCGTTCTCTCTGATGTCACACTTGATATGCGTTTCCAACTCAGTGCACAGAAACAGAAGCTGTTTCTAAGAGCCAGAAATAAAATACAAAAAGCTACATTAACACACCATGTGCAGAAATGTAAAACCTAATGATAAATCATCTGATTAATAACTAGTGGCCCTAAAAAACAATGGTAAATAACTTAAGTCATACCTTTTGATGAGCTAGGAAGAACTGAATATTGGAGGCTTCATCTGCCAAGATCAGAAGACTATAGCAGAGGTAGTAGGTCTGAGGATAATGGAAAGAAACTTTAAATCACAACAAATGTTGCAAATAATATTAAAAGACAAGAAAAACAAGACAAGAAAGATCCAAATGTAATGTTTAGGTTGATAGCATGTGCTCACCTGTTGATCTAGGGCTGCCATGTCATCTTCTTCTTCATCCCCCTGTCTCCTGCTGGAGGATTTCAGCATGCCTCGGAGAAGGGTGGAGGGTTGCATGCGGGGTAAGTAGTTCCTCAGGTCAGAGAGCTATGATAGAGAACATGGAGGAGAGAACTAAAGGTTACTGGAGATGTTTGAAACACTAGAGACAGTGATCTGGATTCATATTTTGGCTTCTGGAATCTAAAAGGACACTGTATGGATACCTGAAACTCCTTTGCTGTTGGTCTGTAGGTGCAACTTCCGTCCAACAGTTTAGAGATCATGGACAGGCTCAGATGTTGACGCAGTTGCCTACATAAACAAAATGGAAACTTTTACATATGCAATGCAATACAATACATCTTCAATACAATCAAATAGAAGAAAAAATACTCATTGTGTTAAAGAAATATATAGACTCACTTTCCACGTGCGTTGTCGGGCAGCAGTTTAACTAGGGCGCACATGTTGTGGTGGTCGTCTGTCAGATCAGTAAAAGCCAGACAGATTCTGGGCAGCTGACAAACATTTTAGATAAATAAATGTAAAATAAACCAAATGATCAAATGACATAATTTCTGTGTATTCATGAAACGTACAATAAATATATTAAACACTCCTTTTTTAGGAATGCATGTACTGACCATGGTGTCCCAGTCCCTGATGTTTTTGACAATATGGAACTGCAGGGGGCAAAGTTCCACATTGGACTCGAGGATGAGCCGAGGGTCCAAGCCCACCCTCCCAACCACAGTCAGCAGCAACAGCAGCTCATCGTCGCTGTATACCCGTGGACACAGACTCATGCAGTGCCACAGGTACTGCAGAACAGGGGAGAAACAACAGAGCAGTGAATGATCTAATTGGACAGGCTGTGCTTTCTCTGCCAAACTTGTTTTTAATCACAGACAACATCAAATTATCAGACATCTTCTGAGCCTCACCTTCAAGATGTTGTTGCAGTTGTGATCAGGGAAGTTGCTGTGTTCCTCGTTACTGGAGGGACTCTCACTTTTGATACAGATGTCCTCCCTACACAAACACACAGAAATTCAATCGCACCAAATAGAAAAACATTCAGCTCAGATTTATTTGTGTATTCATTTGGAACGCTACTTACAGCAAATCTCCCTCTGTGAATGGAGGCTGCAGATACTGAAGAGGGAAGAGAGCAACAAACGCAACCCCCATATTCATCAGGACCAGCACCACATCGGCCAGACTGGGAACCCACACTTCAAACTTCTGGTTTCCACTTTTCACTGAGGGAGAACACGCATAGAAGAAAAAACACATGTTAACTTTTTGCAATAGTAAGCAAGTACCAACAGCCTTGTGGGGGGACACTAACCTATCTGACAAGCAGCAGTCAGGGCAATGTCACGGAGGGTCTTTAGTATATTTTCGGATACCATCCTCTCCCTATGGACTGACATCATCTGATAGGATAAACAAAAAAAATACAATAGTTCAGACATTTGGACAGAAATCACTATTGACATGCTATTGTGAGTGTGGGGGGGGCTACCTTGAAAAGGAAACTGGTAACCTGAGATGGACAGGGTGAGCAACAGTCGTAAGCGTCCTGGAATAATTCAATGTTTAGATGCAATCTCAGTTGAACAGGGCTGGACCTAGGAAAGATATATGGAGAGAGAAAGATTGGAGGAATAAATATACAAGTAAAACTAAGCCTAGAACTTTGCTTGTGGTCCCCAATGTTCACTACATCCAACATCATGAAGGGGTGGATGATTTACCTTTCCACTGGTTTGGCTGAATGTAGTTTGTCCCGAGGACTCTCACTTTTGACATGAGTGAGATTGAAATGCACGCGTCATTTAAATCTGCAGGGTTCAATCCCTTTGAGAGTACTCATTTGCTTTTATCTGAGTAGATATTATCACAAGTCCACTTATTGGTCTTAGAGTTATGCAACAGGGAGGCTTTAGGAGTGTGCAATTATTACCTATTATCACATTTCATGGCAATTTATTATTTAGTCATTACGACATCTTGCTCTAAAACCTTTGTGTGAATGCATTTGTGCTGCCCCCAAATAGATGACTAAATGTTTGTTGGCTAAAAAATTCTTAATCGACACATTTGTATTCAGTCTATTAGACGGAGGAGAAAAAAGAGAAAAGAAAAGTGCATGTATGCATGCGTGTGCTTTGATGCGTCAGATGGAAAACCCCTCAGACTTCATTCAGA